ATTCAAACCTCTCAACATCCTCCTGCCCCAAGTAATCTCAAAGCCAGAAGGAACTATCCTTTTATCCACATAGCAGCTTGCAGAGCACTGATGGCAGGATTACAAAGAAGCCCCACAACACCCCTACAAGGACACTTCTGCCTTTCAGGCTGGTTAATTCTTAACTTCAGTTCAATTACTGCAGGGTAAGGACAGACTGCACACTCAGCAAATCTGTCCTTTACAAAGTGCTTGAAGTAGTTCAAGAACAGTAAACACCACCTTCCTCGAAAACTGAGATTCTTCCGGAATTCACAGAGGTTACACCCTGGCAGTCTGCGACAGCTGTATTTCCCCCAATTGTATAGTGGAGCAGGACAGCTGTAAAGTAATTATGAAGCAACAATGAGTTTATTAACTGAAGTGGATTTTTAAAAACATTTTTAAAGACACTTTTAATTTCCCATTCTAAAATCGCTATTAGAACTACACTGCATATAAACAGGACATCGATATGGCTCTGCCCAAACAACACAGACGTAACTCTAGGAGCTGTACTACAATCTTAACAGGCATCAAAATGCTGTATCAGCATTTAGCAGCAGGTCCACATTAATTTCCTTTATCCAAACTCATTCAGTTCAAAACTGAGAAATCAATAAAGCTAAGACAATTCAGTAAGTTGTTCTTTTACTTTACAAATTTTAAAAAGATGCAAGCAGAGCTTCACAGCTCTAAAAATAACAAGAGCGAAAACAAGAAAACAGGCAGGTCCACTCGTCAACTGAAGATGCATCTTTTGTTTGTTCAGTTTATCTTAAATATAAACCACACACCTATTAAAATTTACTCCAAGTCCACAAAATCAAATTGATCTGATTGATTCCACACCTTCAAAACTGTAAACTGTCTTCATCTAATGCACTTGATGCAAACTGACTAAAGTAAAACAAACAAAACCTCTTGCAAACCTAAATAACTGTATGTTAACATAAACCAAGACTGGAAGTCAGAGCTCTGCAGTCACACATGACGGTGCATGCATCTTGGCAAGCCCTGCCAACAGGATTTGAGTGAGCAGGGAGGAAAACGAAGCAGAGGGAATACACCACAGCCCCCTTGGCCTCTTCTGGGCGCTTAAGATAAACTACATATCCCCTACATACCAACCCAGACTTTGCCATTATTTGTTAAAAAAGAAAACAGGTTTTAATGAGAATTTCTCCTGGCATTTGAACAGTTTCAACTGTACTTCTATCATGGTTTTCTGTTTGCTGGCTTAAGTCAAGGGTTTTAAACTGCCCTAGTCATAAGGCTGGCTGATTCCCACTACCGCTGCTGTCATTCTGCCCCCCCCATCTTTCCTGGCAAGAAGTTTCTGTTATCTTCCACTACTAAAGTCAGCCTGAGTTAGTTCACTCCCAGGCTGAAAAACTACAAATGAATTTCATATTGAAAATTCATCACAGAACAACCACAGCAACAGCATCTGAGCAGGGCCCTCAACCCTCCTATGTGCAGAGATTCTCACCTCTGCTTTTCTGCAAGTCCAACTGTACGTTTCCCAAAAGTGACACGATTGATACATAGTAAAACCAAAGTCTGACAGTCCCATTACACATGAATGAATATAACAAAAGAACAGCCATACTGAATCAATTCAGAAGTCTACCTATTCCAGCATCCAGTCTGGCAAGACACTTCACTATATCCCAGTTTCCCCACAATACCTGGGGAAGAAGAAGCCAAACTGAACTTCAGTCTCAGGCACTGCTGCTAAACAGATATAGACACATTCTTGAAGAGAAAATGCACCAGTTCCATAAACTGTCTGTCAAAATAATGTGACCCCATACAGTAGCAGCACCACTGGGACAGCACACCTAGCCTGAGGAAACAGGAACTACCTTCCAGTGAGACCACTAAATCTTCTGAAGAGAAAGAAAACATACTCACACACTGTCCCTGATCAGAAGTTAATAAGGAGGATTAAACCAGTACAAAGAAAAAAAACCCCTAAATTTTAAATTAAACTATGTGCACTCTCCAGGAATTGTCAGTGAGCCAGATAAATGGGAAAGGTGAAAAGTTTAGTATCAACCTGTGCCAGCCTAAGCTGTGACAGCTGTGTCCCTCTCACCACGCTCCTACCCTCTCTGGAGCAAACATTTGCACTCATGAAACCACATGGTGTGCCACTTTAGAGAGCTGAGACAGCTGAAAGCTAACCTACCAGAAAAAGCTATCTTTTTTTTTTTCCAAAATTAACTCTCTGTGCTGACTTACTGCATGGTCACACAGGCAGAAGAACACGTGGCTGGAGTCACAGAAGCCCCAAACCACACTGGTTCAAGCTGTCGCAGAACTGCAGCATGGATGAACTGCTACCAAGACTGCAAACGGAGAGGTACACTGCAAACAAGAGCGTGCCGTTAAGTGTAATTCCAGTCTGCAGCAAGAGCAATAGATCACACTATTTAGACTCCAGTCACCATGGCATCCACCGTGATGTATCACTAGACTATTTCGCAAGCCAGGTCTCACATCTCCCTTGCTCTTTGCTGGAGTTCATTTGACTAAAGAGAACGGAAACACCAGGTTCCCGCCTGCAGAGGATGGAAACAAAGCTTAGCCCTTTTAATAAAACTTTGCAGGTGCCTATTTCCCGAGTGAGAGAAGAAGACAACGCTGAGACTTTGGAGCACTATATTGCTTTCTCTTTTCTGAACTCCAACAGAGATAGATGCCCAGTCCCTGCACGGCCTCAGCACCAGCACTGCTCTGGGACACAGCACCCTCTTTACAGGGAGCCTCTTGAAAGCCAAGAATGCCTGCTATGAAACAGTTATTTATACTGCGCTTTAACACAGTCAGGTGACAAAGAACCGCGGCCGTATATTTAAAACCCCTTCAACTGATGCTTCACCTTGCACAGAAGCTTAGCTACAGCCTTTTGACTGACCCTCAACTCCTTTCCTGGAAAACTTTTCAAACACAAAGTGTGAAAAGAGGAGCTTCACAGGGCCATAACCGCCACCCCAGTACAGTCCTCTCCTCGCTGCTCCAGCTGCACAGAGCCCGAGCTTGTGCTGGGTCTGACAGCACCCTACCCCGCTCTCAAAGGCGAACAAACCTGCGCCAGCCAAGCGGCTTTCGACAGAGCCGAACCCCAGGCAGCGTGGGGATTAGGCGCTGGCACCAGTGTCGAGTGTGCAGAGCCCGGCTGGCGACGAGTAGCAACAGGTGAGCGCGGGGCTGCGCAGCGGAGCCGGGGCAAGCGGCAGCTCAGCAGCAGGGGAGCGGGAAGGCGCCCCAGACACCCACCCACTCCTCGCCGGACCGCACAGCGCGCCCCGGCCCCAGCTCACGGCGGAAGACAAGGCCCGTCCCTCCCGCCCCGGCCCAGCCCGTCGCGCACCTTCCAG